GCCCAGGTGGGTCTCGAACCTGCGGACTCAGGCAATTCACTCACCTCAGCCTCCCAAAGGCACAGGATTACAGGCTGAGCCACCGAGCCCGGCACATTACAATTCTTAATACATATGTACAAAATACTTTCAAGGAAGATGGTACCACTTCACACACCAGCAGTATATAAGTGCCACTTGTTCATGTTCTCACCAAGGTTAGAGAACAGTTTTTAAGCTGGGCTCGGTGGCTCAGCCTATAATCCTGGGCCTTTGGGAGGCTTAGATGAGTGGATTGCCTGAGCCCGCGGGTTCGAGACCCGCCTGGGAAACTTAGTGGGACCTCATCTCTATAATAAAACAAAAAAAAATTAGCCGGGCGTGGTAGCGCGCGCCTGACAGTTCCAGCTACTTGGAATGCTGAGGCGGAAGGATCGCCGGAGCCCAGCAGGTCGAGGATGCAGTAGCCGGGAGCGGCCACTGCACTCCAGTCTGGGCAACAGAGTGAGAATCCAACTCAAAAAAAAAAGAGAGAACAGTTTTTAGCTTGGTTGACTTGATGGATGCATTCATTTCCTACGGCCACTATAATAGGGTGCCTGAAGACACAGAAATGTATTCTCTCACAGTTCTGGAGACCAGAAGTCCAAAATCAAGGTTGCAGCAGTCCCATGCTCCCTTGGGAGTCTTCAGAGAAGGCTCTTTCTTTGCCTCTGTCCTTGCTTTTGGTGGTTGCTGATCAGTCTGTCTCCATCCTCACATGACTTCCATCCTTGCATGTCTCCATATGACCTGCTCCTCCTTCTTTTTTTTTTTTTTTTTGAGTTGGGGGGTCTTACTCTGTTGCCCAAGCTGGAGTACAGTGGCATGATCATGGTCACCACATTGGCATGATCATGGTGCACCACAGCCTGGGATCAGGCAATCCTTCTGCCTCAAAGTAGCTGGGACTACAGGCACATACCACCACACTCAGGCTACTTTAAAATTTTTTTTTGTAAAGATGAGGTGTTGTCCAAGTTGGAGCCAAACCCCTGGGCTCAGGCAATTCTCTTGCCTCAGCCTCCCAAATTGCTGGGATTACAGGTGTGAGCTACCATGCCCAGTCTTTCATGGCCTTCCTATATGGTCTTCCCCATGGTATGACCTCATCTTAACTATTACGTTTACAAAGACCCTATTTCCAAATAAGGTCCTATTTTGAGGTTCTAGATGGACATGAACTTTGGGGGAGCACTATCCAATCCAGTACAATGGGTAAAACAGAGGTTTCTTATAATTTTTTTTACTACGAATTTTTAAAAACATATTTAAGCCGGGCTCGGTGGCTCAGCCTGTAATCCCGTGCTTTGGGAGCCCGCTGGTTCGAGACCCACCTGGGCAACTTGGCTAGACCTTATCTCTACAATAAATCAACAAATTAGCTGGGTGTGGTAGCACACACCTGTAGTTCCAGCTACTTTTAAGGCTGAGGTGGAAGGATCGCTGGAGCCCAGCAGGTCGAGGCTGCAGTGGCTGGGGGCGGCCACTGCACTCCAGTCTGAGCGATAGAGTGACACTCCAACTCAGAAAAAAAAAATATCTTTAATATACATCAAAGGGTTCAATCAAAGACTTAATTTAAAAAAAAAAACAAAGATAACACCACAGCTCGAGATCAAGGAAAAGACAAACCATCTAAAGGAAAAGAGAAAATAAAAGACAACACAGAGCCGGGCTCGGTGGCCCAGCCTGTAATCCCACACCTTTGGGAGGCTGAGGTGAGTGAATTGCCTGAGCCCGCGGGTTCGAGACCCGCCTGGGCAGCAAGACCTCATCTCTACAATAAATCACAAAATCAGCCGGGCATGGTAGCGCATGCCTGTAATTCCGGCTACTTGGAAGGCTGAGGCGGAAGGATCGCCGAAGCCCAGCAGGTCGAGGCTGTGGTGGCTGGGAGCAGCCACTGCACTCCAGTCTGGGTGACGGAGTGAGACTCCAACTCAAAAAAAAAAAAAAAGAAAATACTAAAGACGACACAGAAGAGGTTGTGCAGCCCAGGTCAAGGTAGGTTTCTTGCAGGTACTTAGGTTTATTATGATTTTAATGTTCAGCTGTTATTGAAGGGAAACACACACACACAACTATGACAGCTCAGAAATGCTGATGTCAAATAATGGGACATCTTCACTGTGGACTAGCTCATGGATATACTTGCTGGTTGGGCTGAGTCTGGGAACGTGCCCCACCTGAGGCAGGTGATTAAGCTGGTTCTGACCCTGCCACCCTCAGTTCATCATGAATAGGCCACCTTTGGCAGCTCATAATTTTTGTAGGCCTCAACTTCATTTGCACGAAGATATGCTTCAGGTTGGACAAAACGGGCAATTTCTAGGGTCTCTCCTACCTCTGAATCTTTCCCCATCAGGGAAGATTCTGGATGATCCAGCTCTGGCTGATTCATGTCCGACTATAGGTAAAAGGTGGCAAGAGAGTGCCTTCACAGGAGACCTTCACAAGAGACCTTCACGGGTCAGGCAGTTCCCTGCTCTGCCTGCTCAGTGCTTCCCAACGCTCTCCTCTGCCAGGCCCAGCCAGGTTGCACGGTTTCCAAGGTCTCTTATAGACATTGGCTCTGACTAGCAGCCCAGCATCAGCCTCCTAGCTAGTCTCTTGCTTTCACTCTCACCCACTTCCAATCCAATTCCCCCTCGTCAGCCAGTGTGATGTTTCTACAAGACAGTCTGTTGCTCCTTTGCTTTGCTTAAGAGATTTTCTGTAGTCGCTCACTTTAATTTTGGTAAAATTCAGATTGTTCCCAAATGATCTGGTTCTGTTTATGTTCCACCTTCAACCCCCTTCAGCTACCCAGGCCTCTTAGCTCTTCAAACACAGCAAGTGCTTCCCCACTTGGTGCCTTCAAACCTGCTACTTCCTCTGCTTTGCTTCCATGCCCAATGTAGGTGGCTCATTTTTATCACCTTCAGATCTCAGCTCTTTTAACTTGAAGATTTATTTTTGTGAGATCTCAGCTCTTTTGGTGTCCCCCAGCCAACCTGTCCCTTCTGGTTATCTCCTCACCTTGCACTGTTCCCCAGAGTCCCTGCCCAGTCTGTATTGCATAGGATGGCATTTGCAGTGTCTTCTCCAGAGGAGTTCAAGCCCCATGCTCTATTTTATCATCGTGTGCCCTGCTAGCCTACTGCTTCAAATACAGTGGCCACCCAAATGTTGAATAAATAACCAGGCTATGTTCCTCCAACCCTTCTTCTTCACAGTGCTACTGCTCCAACCTTCCAGCAGAATGGTTTTCTGCGTTCTTAGCATCCATGTCTCTGCAAGCAGTTTCCTCTATGGGTCAGGATCTGACTGCTAGCTGTATTACAACTCCTTTGATACTCACAAAAACCTCATGCAGTGGGTACCCCAGTTATCCCTATTTTACAGATAAGGAAACTGAAGTTCAGCAAGGTCAAGTTACTCACTCTTGGTCTACATAGCTACAACTAGTGGGGTCAAGATTCAAACCCACCAAGTACCCTTATACGCCAAACTCATCAGAGTGGAACTCTGGGCTGTGGCCAACAGGTATGGCAGCTTACCAACACATTCGGCGAGCTAAATGCAGAATGGAGGTTAGATCCTGGGGAGGCTTAAGACCCCCAGGCTAGAGAATTTTCCCCAGCTGAAGTCACACTGCCTCCCCATGGCCAAGACAGTGAGCTCTCCTCTGTGTGATTTTAAAATGGAATTATTGGTTTAGAAGCCAAAGTTGAAGGTAATATCTCCAATTATGGCTCATGTTCTGAAAACCAGAATTCTTTGGAAGTTAATGGAAAACTCAAAATAGCAGAGTGCTCTTCTGGTGTTTGCAGAGAGCTTTGAAGTCTCAAATAACTGACAGTGAAGAGCAGGTAAACAAAGCACTCAATGCAGAAGCAGGTCTCAAGAGCAATTTACATTTATTTGCTGATGACCCTGACTAAACATATTTCAAATACAGCACAAGTTGAATCTGTTTGTTGGGTGAAGTTGCTTCTCGCCAACTGCAAAATGTGGTCCATGAAGAGTCACTCGAGCATCATCTTCAAGCTAAGGCCCCAACTGTGGGCAAACAGCTGGTGGGTGGACCTGGTCCTTTGGGCCTGGATGAGTCCTCCAAAAAACTATTCCTTGTTCTCATACTTGTGCTTGATGTGTTTCCACAGCTTCTATATTTTAAAGACAAGAGACACAAACTTTGACCTCTGCCTCTCAATTTTACAACTACTCCCACTGCCCTAGTCTTTAAGACAAGCTTGAGAAAAACATGTGCTATGTCCTGTGTTTGCCTGAAGGGCAAACTGGAAGCAATACTAGCCTTGATGCACAATTCCTAACTTTTTTTTTTTGAGTCAGAGTCTCACTCTGTCACCAGGCTGGAGTGTAGTGGCACACTCACAACCACCGCAGCCTCAAGCTGCTGGGCTCAGGTGATCCTGCTGCCTCAGTTGGAACTACAGGTGTGCGCTACCATGACTGGCTTTTTTACTTTTTGTAGAGACAAGGTCTCACCAAGTTGTACAGGCTGGTCTTGAACCCCTGAGCCCAGGCAATCCTCTCACCTAGGCCTCCCAAAGTGCTGGGATTATAGGCTTGAGTCACCACACCTGGTCTAATTCCTAACTTTTATAAAATACTTTGATGCTTTCAATCACCATGTGAAGTGGGAAGGGATGATCTTAATTTTACAGGAAATTTAAATAGAGATTGAAGGAACTGCCCCAAAGCACACAATTATTAAGGAACAGAGCCTGGAATACGACTTAGTTCTTCAACTCCCAGTATTACTCAAGAGCCTTAAGTGCAAAGTCCCCTAACAGTTCATACTGAGCCATTTTTTATTTCCTTAGACCTAAATTGGTTGAAATTCTCATTCTCAAAAAACACAGGAAAATGAGTGAGTTATGATAACGTACTTGATGCTTTTCTTTTCTTTTTTTTTTTGAGTTGGAGTCTCACTATCGCCCAGACTGGAGTGCAGTGGCCACTCCCGGCCACTGCAGCCTCGACCTGCTGGGCTCTGGAGATCCTTCAGCCTCAGCCTTCCAAGTAGCTGGAACTACAGGCGTGCGCTACCACGCCCGGCTAATTTTTTGATTTACTGTAGAGATGAGGTCTTGCCAAGTTGCCCAGGCAGGTCTTGAACCCGCGGGCTCAGGTAATCCACTCACCTCAGCCTCCCAAAGGCGCGGGATTACAGGCTGAGCCACCGAGCCCAGCTTTTTTTTTTTAATTTTTTTTTTTTTTGAGTTGGAGTCTCACTCTGTCACCCAGGCTGGAGTGGTGGCAGGCTCACAGCCACTGCAGCCTCGACCTGCTGGGATCCGGCCATCCTTCCGCCTCAACCTTCCAAGTAGCTGTAACTATAGGTGCAAGCTACCACGCCTGGCTAATTTTTGATTTATTGTAGAGGCGAGGTCACACCAAGTTGCCCGGACTGGTCTCGACCCGCGGGCTCAAGCAATCCACTCACCTTGGCCTCCCAAAGTGCTGGGATTACAGGCTGAGCCACTGAGCCCGGCCTCTTAGATGGTTTTCTACATCAGTGAGAATGACCAACAGAACCACTTGCAAGAGAAGAGACAGTGGCGATACCTTCACATGGGCAGGAAGTTGCCCTGGGCACAGGAAGTATAGCACTAATGGTCAGAGCCTTCCTGGGCTATAGAGTCAGATAGCCTCAAATTAAAAATAAGTGAGCAGTGGAACAGGGCTACATGTATAAGGCCTTTCCCAGTATGGCCACAATTTTTTTCTTTTTTGAGTTGGAGTCTCACTCTGTCGCCCAGGCTGGAGTGCAGTGGCAGACTCACAGCCACTGCAGCCTCGACCTGCTGGACTCTGGCGATCCTTCCACCTCAGCCTTCTAAGT